GGGGGTCTGTCCTCAGGGTGGACAGGTGTGGGGGGTCTGTCCTCAGGGTGGGCAGATCTGTTGGGGGGGGTCTGTCTTCAGGGTGGACAGGTGTGGGGGTCTGTCCTCAGGGTGGACAGGTGTGGGGGGTCTGTCCTCAGGGTGGACAGGTGTGGGGGGTCTTTCTTCAGGGTGGACAGGTGTGGGGGTCTGTCTTCAGGGTGGACAGGTGTGGGGGTCTTTCTTCAGGGTGGACAGGTGTGGGGGTCTTTCTTCAGGGTGGACAGGTGTGGGGGTCTTTCTTCAGGGTGGACAGCTGTGAGGGGTCTGTCCTCAGGGTGGACCGGTGTGGGGGGTCCCTGGGGACCTGTACAGGTGGTAGGTGTGGTCATGGAACATCATCAGGCTGTAGAAGGTGTGTCCTCCGTTGGAGACCCTCTGCTGTCCGTCCCCCCAGGACACAGGACTGTCGGTGAAGCCGTGGACGGTCAGGGACACCCAGGACTCCAGCTGAGGCTGCTGCAGGTGGTACCTGGAGCACAGGTGGGTGACATGGTCAGGTGGGGTCCTGTCCAGGTAAAGGTGTGTGTGATGTACCTGAGCTCCTGGATGAGGCGCAGCAGGTGGTCCGGCAGCAGCAGACCACTGACACACACACTCAGAGCGTGACGCAGCCTGCTGTCGGCCTCAGGACACACCAGTGAAGACAGGAAGCTGCTGGACGAGTTCTCACTGAAACCACAGAAGAAGAATGACATCATTGGTCACGTGTCGTGAACATGTGACCTGAACTGGACCGCTCACCTGCTGACGTCTGCGTCCACAGCCCCCAGCCACTCCAGGAGGCTGTGGGGGTCACATGACCGGGGGGAGGGGCAGGTCAGGTCGTTCAGACAGCGACGGCTGACCTCGGGTTTGTGCTCCGACCAATCATAACGAGACAGGAGGGGCTGCAGAGAGGCCCCGCCCCCTGCAGGACAGAGGCACAGCATGAGGCTTGGAGTGAGGAGCAAAGCATCATGGGTAACAGAAATCTGAAGCATGAGGTCACCTGGATGATGTGACAGCAGGAAGTCAGTCTGCAGCTGAAGGCGGGACTTCAGACCTGTCAGGAGCTTCAGATAGCCCCGCCCACCTGGAGCCATGCTGCGGTCTGTCAGATCCACAGAGACCACTGCAGGACACAGTCACATGTTACACACGTGTTGTTGAGACCAGGTCTACAGGTCGACCTGGTGGACCTGTAGACCTGGTCGACCTGTAGACCTGGTCTGGACCATGAAGAGGACATGATGGTGATTACATAAATGACAGAAGATGAACTCAGACCCCATCTGTGGTTGAATCTGGACGGTTTCCCTTCAAAGCCCAACACCTCAAACGAGTCTTTGTCCAGGGACAGAACCAGGTGTCCTGCAGGGACACGTTTGTTTATTTACACAGGTAAACAGAGCAGGTATAAAGTCAACAACTGAGGTCACCTGGATGGAGACTTTACCGTTTGGCATCAAAGCAACACAGTTGTCTTCATCCATCCGTGTCCTGAAGGACAGGCCGTACACAGCACCTGAAACACAGCCACAGGTGCACACAGGTGACAGGTGTATATAGGTGACAGGTGTATATAGGTGACAGGTGTATATAGGTGACAGGTGTATATAGGTGGCAGGTGTATATATAGGTGACAGGTGTATATAGGTGACAGGTGTATATAGGTGGCAGGTGTATATATAGGTGACAGGTGTATATATAGGTGACAGGTGTATATAGGTGACAGGTGTATATAGGTGACAGGTGTATATATAGGTGACAGATGTATATAGGTGACAGGTGTACAGGTGATAAAAGGTGTGTTGTTACCCTGGTAAACGGCTCTCTTCAGGAAGTCTTTGTCCAGGAGTTCATATATTGGCAGCTTCCTGATCAGGTAGAAACTGGTGAAGCTCTTTAATACAGAGTCCAGGTAGGAGGGGGTGGAGCTACACCCAGGTAACAGTAGAGATACCTGCACAGGTTAAAGGGGTCAGCAGAGTGAAGAAATAAGCTTTCTGTTTGTTTCAATAGACGTACTTTAGAGCACCTGCAGACTGAGAGCAGGTGAAATAAATCCAATAAAAACAACTAAATGAAGAGGCTGTGATGGCGTACAGGTACGAGGTGGCGCACCTGTCAGAGTGCAGTTCAGTCAACAACCTGCTCCTCCTCCTCCTGTATATGTTCAGAAACAACAGAACAACCATCCTGCCACTCATCATTGGTGGGAGCTGTGTGGAGAATGGACCTGTGTTCTGGTTCCTGGACAATGACCTGTCCTGAGGCACCAACATGCTACTAACCAAGGTACGGAGGTGTTTTTATTAAAGTCCCCAGAAAAAACATCCTCATTTCAAACCACTGAGAGCGCTAACTTAACCTAAGATCTAACTTAACCTAAGATCTAACTTAACCTAAGATCTAACTTAACCTAAGATCTAACTTAACCTAAACTCTAACTTAACCTAAACTCTAACTTAACCTAAGATCTAACTTAACCTAAACTCTAACTTAACCTAAGATCTAACTTAACCTAAGATCTAACTTAACCTAAACTCTAACTTAACCTAAGATCTAACTTAACCTAAGATCTAACTTAACCTAAACTCTAACTTTATGCAGGTGTTAACACTGATCTGATGTAATAAACTTTATGCAGGTGTTAACACTGATCTGATGATGTAATAAACTTTATACAGGTGTTAACACTGATCTGATGATGTAATAAACTTTATGCAGGTGTTAACACTGATCTGATGTAATAAACTTTATGCAGGTGTTAACACTGATCTGATGATGTAATAAACTTTATGCAGGTGTTAACACTGATCTGATGATGTAATAAACTTTATGCAGGTGTTAACACTGATCTGATGATGTAATAAACTTTATGCAGGTGTTAACCCTCCTGTTGTCCT